ATTGTCTTTCTCCAGATAGCTATTCGCTGAAGCGAGAAATCGCTCGTAGCGCGATGAACTTGAACGTTGTGCCATTGTCGAGTTTACCAGATGGACAGCGTAGGCGAAATTTAATGAAAAATTGAGACAGTTGAATTTTCTGATAATGTAAAGTAACAAACAGCTCTCAGACTATATCGAAGTTGAACTGACTCTTAAATGATGCGTACTCTAATGAAACTATGCTAGTTATCTCAACTTATCTGCGGTACTCTTAACGATAACAGCGACAGTGGGAGGTGTTAACAATAAAGGTATTAAATGGGGTGAAGTCAATTAATATTTAAGCTTCCGCTCTTACACTTTGGGAATTTGATGGAATTCTGTTTAAAAACTGTGTTACAACAATTATACTCTATGTCTACCCAATTGGTATGAAGCGATCTTAGTTCAGTGTCAGTAGGAGTATGGGAAAGGTAGTGAATTCGGTGAAAGTCAATAAAAATTTGTTCTAAATATAACTGTGGTTTCGCATAGTTTAGATTTTAAGGCCCACACACTGGACACGATTCGCGACACTGCATGGACGAGAATTTTCCATTTTCGGAAGCAAATAAATTAAATTCTGAACGAATATCTTGAGAGATATATGTGTACCAGACCAGTCAAAATGTATTATCATTCAGAATTCACCAAGAATTTCACAACCTTGGCATTTTGAAAACTGAAAGATTCGTAATTCGGGCCCTCATTTGTTATGAGCAGAACCTATGTGCAGAACGGATTTGACTTCCACTCACTGTTGTCTCACATCAATTAAACACGACAATATTGTCGGGAAGAAGGAAAACTAAATATCTCTGCAAGTATTTGGGCTAAAGACCCCAAAATACCTCAAACGATAGAGCTTGAAAAGACGATTTAAATAGTGTATTCAAACCAGCATATAGTGATAAGCTAAATTTCTTTTATAAGTCACAAATGAGTCAAAATAATAAGTTGCTTTGTTATCTCAGATTACTCACCCATAGCAACCATGTACTTAAAAAATTCCGCATTTTCTCGCTTTTTTGTTCTTTGTTGTCTTTAAAATGTCTGCATTTTACATATTATCATTCTTTTTTAAATTCTGAGTAATTTTTGGCGTAGGAAGTGAATGGGCAATATGTCTTTTTATTAACATCGACAGTTCAACATTAGAATATTGAATATCCAACGCATCGACATGTTTCATATTTCTCTAGAGGTCATATTGAAGACGTCTATGACTTAGCTTGGTCTCCCAATGGAACTCAATTGATTTCAGGCTCTGTTGATAAAAGTGTGATAATTTGGGATACTAACAAAGGTATATCCTCATCTGTACTCATTTGTACACATTCGTCAAATTTCACCACTTAATTATATATTTTTATGATCATATGATCAACAGTGAATAAGTTGAGGATGCTAAAGGATCATGCGAATGATATATGCATGATATAGAAGAACACACGTGTGCTCGTAGACGCTAGTTTTGTGCGATAGGCTTTGAAAGCGAAAAAAGCAAACTTTCCTTTGAGGCTTTGATTGTAAGACGAAGTCAAATATTTTATGATAATTAAAAGAACTCTGGAGTGCATTTCTATACAGTATATCCTGTGTTTTGTATAATCATTGGCATAAAAGAACAGCGCCATGGGTAACAAAAGCAGTGTCAGTGGGAGTATAAAAGGTATTGAATTCGGTGAAAGTTATTTAAAATATCTCCTAAATATAACTGTGTTGTTCGCATAGTTTAGATTTTACTGCGGCAACGCGATGCGAATTTTCAGTTTTTAGAAGCACATAATTAATTTCTGGAAGCCAAATTTGGAATCTAAGGACACCAGAGTAGTCAAAATGTATTATCGTTAAGAAACAATACAAGAATATTGTCATAATTTAAAACTTTTTTTCTTTTGAAAAATCAAAAACATTTAAAAATTGCGACACGTTGTCTGGTCGTCGTCGTCTGGTCTGCGTGGGCCTTAAAGCTTCCTGTGTGTGTGGGTCCACACCGGACATGATCCGCCAACGCGATGGGATTTTTACGAATTTTTCAGTTTTTAAAAGCCGCTAATTTTGACAATGTTATGATATTCTTAGTAATTACCGATTAACGGTACATTTTGACTGGTGTTGTGCCCATATCTCGCAAAATGTTCATTCAGAATTTAACTTATTTGTTTCTGAAAATGAAAAATTCGCGTTGCGTTATAGCGAATCGCGTCCAGTGTGTCTGGTTGTTGTTGATGATCAGTTAAAAAGTTTAAATACTTGCAGCCCAAAGGCTGAATAACGTTTAACTTTACAAAAATACGACAGGTTAAAAAGTATAAATATCCTAAATTCTACACAATATTGAATTTAGTGTAACAAAGATTACTTATATATCTATGAATTATTTACTCATAAAACTTCATAGAGCGATGTATAATAAAACTATTCTTGTATTGGTTAGTTTTACTAGCAACATTATTAAATTAAACAGCATTTTGTTCTTAAATCGTAACCGGTGTCAGTTTTGCTTGCAGCAGGCAATTTGTGGAACGGATCACTTTCAGTCTCTGTAAATAGCTTATCAGTAATATTTTCCCTCCGATCAAAGAGTGTATTAATACGAGCCTCTATAGCAAAGTCTCTGGATATGATAGTGATGGATATATGATTTTGAGTGCACGCTTTTGTAACCTCTCCAGATCGTCTGTTAGGTATTGAGGTAGCGAGTCATTGAGGAAGACTGGGCATTTAGACAATGATAAGCGTATTTTGAACCTTTTTCGGGCACAATATGACAACATACGATGTTGTCCGTGCCAACTATATGGACGATAATGACAGTAATGATAATATTCCCAAGTAAAAGTAAACAAATGATCGCAAACATTAACATTTCCGTCTGAAACTATATGCTTGTTCGAAGCAATTATAGCAGTATATCTGATTAGCCAATCACGTTCAATTGGCTTAGCGGTGTTCGCCTGAGCGTAATATATATTCTGAACTATTGTTTTCCAACGTTGAGTTTTAAATACGAACAGGCAATGTTTTTTATTAACATCGACAGTTCAACAGTAGAATATTGAATATCCAACGCATGGACACATTTCATATTTCTCTAGAGGTCATATTGAAGACGTCTATGACTTAGCTTGGTCTCCCAATGGAACTTAATTGATTTCAGGCTCTGTTGATAACAGCGTGATAATTTGGGATACTAACAAAGGTATATCCTTATCAGTACTTATTTGTACACATTTGTTATATTTCACTATACTTAATGATATACTTTTATGATCATATGATCAACAGGGGATAAGTTGAGGATACTAAAGGATCATCGTCAGTATGTCCAAGGGGTGTCATGGGATCCCTGTGGTACCTATGTTGCGTCATATTCGTGTGACCGCACGTGTCGTATTTGCAACACGTCCAACTACAGATGTTGTTTTAATATTAATAAAGTGACTCTGCCGAGTTGTGCCAAAAGTGAAACCGGAACACAGGTCAGTGGATACATGAATGGTGCAGTTTTATTTAGTAACCGTAAAACATTGAGCTTTCCTAAATTTAATACCTCAATTGGTGGATGCTATTGAAGGGAGTTCTTGATCAAAATAATATGGTTAACTTAATGGCGTTTATTTTGCTTGGGGGCGGAGACAATCAGACAAAATAACTCTGCATTCAAATCGGTTGGTTAACTTAGTTCGATAGTATCGTGGGCTCGCATTTGGTCATCGGTTGACCATCAAATACCGGTTAAACAGCTTAGATTGAACTGGATTAGTTCATGAAATTTTGCACTTAAAATGTTATACTTTGCCGCCTTTATAATTATTTTAACTAAAATATCAATTTATCGTCAAAAAGAGTTCAAAACAAATCAAAATATTTCACGACGAGACAATGCCGTCCTTCCTTCGCCGTTTAACGTTTTCACCAGACGGTTTGCTATGCAGTGTTAAAGCTGCTCAGGACAGCATTACGAGACAAGACAGACCACGAGTACCACTGGAGCCAGAAGTTACTATAAACCATTAAATATAGAGCCATTGAACATTACAAACACAATATTCAAATTATTTGGCATTCGCTTGTTTCCAACTGAAGGTTACCTAAGGATAAGTAAGATATATAGTTTAATATAATAAGTAGATAGCTCTTGATAGCACATAAACAATCAAGTTTTCAGCTTCATTTACTTCTATAATACTTGTTTATTCTGCCAGATATTTTCCTATCATTTTCATTGACTGCGAAGCCGGTGTTTGGTCGCGGTGTTAATGCACAAAGTAAACTCTAGACTGATTATTATTAAATGGTTACAAAGTATTCTGATAGTTGTAGAATGTAACATAAAAAACAATTTTGTTGTACATTATATTTTCTAGATAATAATATTTGTTCAAGATTTGCGCTGGGAAAATTTAATTTTTGCTTCGACAGAACAGCAAAATCTGCTAAAAAACACATATAGCGCCAACCCTATGCAGCATGGCCTATACTCTAACCCGCTATTTATCTTCTGCAGCATCGTGTTATATTTAAAGTTATGTTATATGCATGTGTTCTGCATCGCTGCTGTTAGTTTTATAACATTGGAAATCAAACGAAAGTAAAAAAAACTTGCAATACCATGTCCAACTTAAAGCTATATAGAAGTTAGAAAATATGTAGCTATTGGGTTAAACAAATCGACTTTGAACAACACGACCCGACCATTCAAGAACAAATTAGTAATGAGGGGACTTTTCCTATAGTCAAACGACGAATTACGGAGTACTCTTTTAAAAAATTTCAACAAGCTCAAATTTGACGAACGAACGAGTTATAACTTTCGTTCTCCATTAACGCGGACTTGGTAGCACTCGAAGATAGGTTCGTTTCATGTTTTGTCTGAGAGGACCACTTGCATTTTAACGAATTTATTGTCAAATTTTTAAAAAAACAAAATTAGCTTGCAGGTACGTTTTGCCTCGGTTGGCTTAACACGCAGGTCAAGTTTGGATTAAGATCGTGTTAAGAAAAATAATATATCCTATATTTAAATATATTGTCATAAATATTCCTTCTTTTACTGGAAATATTGTATGTAGACGGGCGGTAAAATGGAGCGAGTGGGAAAATCGTAACGAGAATTAACTGGATATCTCTTGAAATCTCGCATGCACTTTGTAAGTGTATATTAAAAACTTCCATTGAATTTCGTATATGTAAAATTCAACACCGATTTCAAAAAAAATGAAATATTACATGATTTTTTACGCTCAGGATGTACTTATCAGTTGCTGAAATGATTTATCCAATTCTTCTAAATTGAGATATACTTCATACAGTATAAAATTTTTACTCCGTAATTCACGGCTCGTTAGTCAATGAATTCTTTGATCAGCCAATTGTAAACATGACATTGGAAGGTTTCTATTATAGATCCATAGTTTGAAACGGGGCAGTTTACATTTGGGGTATATATACAACCGTTTATAAGACATGCAGCTATTTCAAAAGTTTGAAACAAGCTCTCGATCTGGCAAACTAACACCTTTTTAAAGCCTCCAAACTTGCATGGCTGTTTGCAACAAAACATATCGGAGAGATATTTATAATTTGAAAGATAAATTTATCATTGAAAATAATTGAGGGTTGCGTTATTTGCTATTTGTTGATTCATATTTAAAGGATTTAAAGTTCTCTTCGTTTTAAAATTTACTTCTAGATGAAGTAAAACTGTAGCGCTTCAAAACATTGTCATTCTATCATGTAGAGCTGCGCAAATCTAAATTATTACTGCACACAAGGGAGTTAGTCAACTAGGGAGTTATGCAGCCTTGACTATTTCTATTTGTGTGTATATACTGCAACATGCTTGTCCAATTTTTAATGCCATTACAGTGAATGTAGTCTATACAAACGGTGCTGATCGACCATGATTTGGCTGAACGCGGTAATCATTATCGTTTCAATTTCATCACTAGTTCATGGTAAGTCTGGTGTTCCTCGATAGTTAGCCCATGACGATTATCAATTACAACAGCAAATAGATCTCTTAAAAAACTGCAGCAAAAAAATTAATGATATATAGCTACGCCAGCGAAATGCATTATCCTATCGGCAAATAACTTTTAAACAAGCCATATAAAAATATCTTGAACAACATATAAGATATATTAAGTAAGGTGTCGTTGTATTGAAACTTTGCACCACAAGATGTCTACTCACTGGCCATTAAATCTTTACTGATATGTCACACAGACAGATTTATTTACGTTCTCATATCTTATTAGCCTATTCAAATATTCAAACCGTTTAAAATCCATCTACTTCGATTAATGAGAAGGAAATTCATGTAAAGCGTATAACAATGGCTACTGCATGTGTATTCATGTCTCTTCGCGAGAATTTCAGTGTTAACATCACATATTGAGGAAACAAACTCTGCATATGAGCGAATATTGAACACAGGGAGGTGCCTGGAATTTATGTATTGATCGAGTATTGATTTCCAGGACACGGTTATCTCATTGACCGGGATATGATCGCAAAACAAGATGGTTTCAAGTTTCATTTCCATTCGGGCTCTGGGATTATCAGAGGACAAGGTATAGTGTACGATTCACCAAACTAGGTGGGGAGAGGGCGGGGTGGGCACGGCCGAGGGCATAGGGGTGACTGGTACGATTCCCAAATCCCCATTATTGGAAAAGATATTGAAAGTTGGAAATGATGATAATTTATGAATCTAAGGCCTGTTTAAATGGAATAAGTTATCTCAGCTAGGCGAGGTGAAAACTGCATATAATGAAAGACTAATCAGGTTAAGCCTTTGATGTGATGCGCTTTAACCTCGCCTACCCGGGATAACTCGCTTCATGTAAACAGGCCAATGTCGCTCCATGTAAACAGGTTTTCACAGCCTCGGTTGTTGGAAGGACGCGTGGCTCAGGGCAATCCAGCCGCTGGAGAAACGACACAAGTTACTGATGGACGGAGATTATAAGCTTAGGGAGGATCCCATGAGGAAATGCGCCATTGCGGCGATGGAGAATAAAATGAAGCTGTTTGCGATTGAGAATGGCGGACAGTGTTTTGGAGATGTGAATGTTAAAACTTCTTTGTTTAAGAAATACGGAAAAGCTGAAAATTGCAGAGGTAATTCTATCAAACAGGGCTGTTTTAACTCTAGAAAGGAGCTAGTTTGGGAAGGGGTTAAAGGTGACGGCGCTGACGCAGGGCTCTAGGAAAAACATTTTAAGCAATACTTCTAGTTACCTTCATGTCAAGACGTTTTGGACACACTTGCTGAGATTATTCACCTTACTGAAGTTGAAAAAATCTTTAATAAAATTGAAAGTCAACACTGTGTTTATTTTTTTCAGATGATGGATATGGAGGACCATGGAGTATGCAAGTGTATAGGTAAGTAAAACTAAAATCAAAATAAACTACTTAACAAGCATCCGTTTTTTTATTTCGGACGATTCATCCTGGTGAACGATGACGATGTAAAAGTGCTGGTCAGTTGGTAAAAAATTTCAACGCGACTCTACTATTTGGTAAAGCCACCTCGAATACCATCAATGATTATAGTATTTTCTACCAAGTTTCACAGGACCAGTGTTAAAACGCCGTCATGGCGGGTACAGTGAATGGTCCCCATGGACGAAGTGTAGTAAAAGGTGTGGTAAGGGGATACAGAAGAGATTTCGTACGTGTACCAATCCATCCCCGGCTCACGGTGGCCGAGACTGCAGTAAACTGGGACCGGGCGTGGATAATAGGTCGTGTGAAAATGAATGCTTGGGAACCGAAAACGGTAAGATAGGACTGGAAACCACTTCGTAATCATTGACACCTTCAACTCGACACCCTCAACTTGTACGCACTCTTTGCTAACCAAGTTGCGAATTGACGGATACGAGATTCTATCGAAGCTCTTAAAATTAATAGGAATTCATAAAGTTTTGCATTGTAATAATCGTGGTAACATGGTCACTCCACCACACATCATGAAATAAAAATTCGTAATGCTTTTGCGAAGATAATGTTGTCTTATATTATTGCACACTTGACCCTAGCTTTCTCAAAAACTCTTTCGTTGGTCATATGCAGTGTTGAAGACAGTGATACTGCCATAACTAGTAACTGGCTTTCCATACGAATACTTATTGATTGGATTTGCTTTTTTATACCTAGATGAATTGGAAAATCCCGACAAGGCCCAAGAATCGAATACTGATTCGGAAACGTCTAAATTGAACGAACCAAAATCGTCATCAGAGGCCAGCAAAAAATCTGAAGACACAGATGACTACTTAGACGATGATGATGATGATAATGATGATGATATTGATGATGATGATTATAAAGACGATAAACATAGTCCGGATATTGGCAAAAAGACTTCGGATCAGAAGTTGACCAAACCAGCAGGTAATCTTGGCGGTAGTCTTGTACTAAAATCAGTTGGCGATTCAACTAAATCAACAAGCCAGACGGTTAATGATGGCTCAGTTGTGTCAATAACGAAAAACAGAAACGCTAATACCTTCAGTCAGAGTGGCGCAGCTCTTGCTAAAGTTGGTAACAAAGACAGTTCTAAACAGACCACGACGAGTGGTGTCCTAAACGGCGAGAAGCCAGCTGTATTAGGAAATGATCAATCAGGTTTAGCAAAGACAGAGGATGGTTCTTCTGGTGTTAGTGGTGCAGGGACGAAACCACTTTCAACAGCTGATGCACAACCTACTACACTAAGTGATACCACATCTAGCATGAAAAATGGCGATATGTATTCGCCAAGCAATGGAGGTACCGAAAATAAAGATGAGAATATCAAGGCTCCAGTTGCTGGGAAGAATAATGACCAGTTTAACACAAATGAGCCAGGTCAGGAGAGTGATGATGCGAAGCCAGGTGACCTCCCTGGAACGAGTTCAAGTATTGACCAAGAAAACGGCGATGGGTCAAAAATGTCAGATGGAGGAACCTCGGGGAGTTTACAAACCTCGAATGGTCAAAATCAAGATACAGCTATGGATACGAAGTCTGACAGCACTGGCAAGATCAGTGAACAGAATGCAAAGGATGATATGAAAGATGGCGATGAGTCAAAAATGGAAGATGATGATTCATTGGATATTTCGGATAGTGACACCTCCGACAATAAGGAATCTAGCGAACCAAATAAGGATAATACAGATTCCACATCAGACAACGCAGAGGAGAATACTGAACAAACATCGAGCAATGGAGTATCAAATGACGATAAATCCTTAGATATCAGCACGGAGGACCCTACATCTAGTCAAGGTAGCAAAAATCCTCAATCAAGCGATATGGGGAAGGATGGGGACAAGGCTGATAATAATGGTCTGCCAAATAAGCAACAAATGAAAGCTGTAAGTGTGAATTAATATGTTCTAAAAACTAGTTTCGTTTTAGTACTTGTAAAATTGCACTAGAAACTCGCTTCATGAACAACGCTCCATACACACTGGTAGGGATCAAAACACCCGATATTTTTATGTGCTAGCCGGATACGGGATGTAATTAATTTGTTGCAATATGCTACTTGCTAACTGCCTTGTACGATTGCATGCTTAAACTCTAGGCCCAAGATCTCCTTCGATCAAGATGGCTATCACTAGAAAAGAAAGGTCGCCTCAAACCAGTCCCAGTGAAAAATCCATCAGATAAGCCATCTCAACCCGTCGTCGATGCTTCCTTGAGAGACGACAGCGAGGATTTTGAGGATGAAGAAATGGAGGAAAAAGAAGATGGAAAAGCGAATGGAGAGAAAATAAATGAGAAGAAAACGGAAGATGAGGCAAAGGATCAAACAATGAATGACCAGAAACTGGAAGGCCAGGAAAGCGATGCGGAATCAGAATTGGATGAGAAGAAATTGGAAGAAAAGGAAAATGATGAAGTAAACAATAGCAAAGACCAAGAAGAACTGAATGAAAAGACGGAAGATATGCATATGAATGGTAAGAAAACAACGAACTGTCAGGGCAAAGAAAATTAAACCCCATTAAATATTAACATCAATGAAAGAATGACCAAAAAAATCAAGTAATTGATTATACAAGTAAGAGATTACCGAACTGGATGTTTTGCTGTTGAAAGTAATAAAAACATCAAATTACTTGAGACCTGTCATTTATAGAGGCTTGACTGTACCTTCAAGGCTGGTCTTTTCGTTTTATTCCAGGTGATCAAACAAGGAATCAACAAGAGATGGAAAAACACGAGGAACCATCGAACGATCATAAGATGGACGAGGGTTTTACGGGAGAAATGGGAGAGAAAGTCGACGAGAACATGAACGATGCAGAAAAGACATCAGAGGAGAGTGGTGCGAAACGAATTAAGGAAGAATGCATTTGTCCTGCCCTTGGTAAGTCGGTTAAATGTCTACAATAGCTCAATAGAAATGATTGCGGCAATTGAAGAGGTTCCCAATAAAGTGATCTTAAGGCTAGATTTACACTTGCAAAGAAGTGGTTCGTTTTTAGCATAAATAAATTAGTTCAAATTGACTGATGTCAATTCAAAAGAAAATATGCAAATTTTTCCAGACGGCAACCATGATTTCGCGAATTGAAATCCAGCGTAAGATGAACATGCCCGCCACCTTTCCTTAGTAGATAGGTTTAGGCGTAATGCGATTTGCGATATTCCCTGGTTGAAAAACCTAGAAGCTTAGAAGTGAGCAAGTGTTCTGGTACACGCCGCTGTGGTCAGTGTGGGTTTGGGTCACAGGGCGAAAATTCGCGCGTGACGAGTCTTTGTCCGGCGGTAAAAGCAATGGACTTCGTAAACTCGATTTAAGCTCGCATGAACTGGGTTGCACCGCATGGGTCATCTAGCTAACTTCGAATCGGTGACAGAACCAACGTTGCATCTTTTATAGCTACCGAATTCATTCGCTTTCGAGGATTATTCCTCCTCTCCACGTTTTCAACTTTCGTCTTCGCGTTTCACAGCCAGGCTGGTTTTCTCGCACGACTCTCGTTAACTGATTCAAATATTTGCTTCATGTTTATGGTTGTAATTAGTATTCATCAATCACTCCCCCTCCCCTTTCCCCATTCCAACGGCGCTCATGTTCGACACCAAGGCTAACCAACTTTCTAAATCTCAGCTTTCAGTTGTCACAAATAGCTTGCCTTTTACTAATCATATTTACCTTTCTGCCAACTGAATCCTGCAATCAAATCCTAGATACTTTCTGACTCGTCCCCAGTTGCTTTGTGGTTGTGCGGATGGAGTAATAAGATTTCTCCTAGCCACCGATCTATAAATATCACTGATATGTGCCAAGTTGTGGGTCTCCGTTGGGACCCTAAATCCATTCTCCTCTTTTAGGTCATTACCACTGGATTTCTTTTCTTTCAGTTTGCAATCACTTGGCAGACACGGGAATGTTTATCGACAATACAAATGTAACAGACATTAATGATCTTAACGAGATGAAAGCTTTTGCCAAAGGACTTGCCATTGGTTTTAAAACAGAGGACAAGGATGTTGTAATGGGAATTATTGCAAACATGAAACGTTCGCACATTGTTGGGTCTCCAACTCAGGCAGGGGATTCTATCTTACACCCAAAAAGCAGGCTAGCAAATCAGGCATCGAAACTGATTAGAAATTCTCGACGCAGACCTGCAAATCGGGCACAAAATCTCGATGTACATCCTAAAATTAGCTTTACTAACTGGGCACAAAATCCTATCGGAAATCTATTCCGGCATCATTCGAAAGCACACCCTCATATTCTTGCAAACATCCCTAAAACCGGGCCTTCTGCTCAAGCATATAAACGATCAAAACTTAAAATTTTTTTTAAATTCCGCCCGGAAAGGGAGCGAAATTCTAAGGCATTCAAGCGGGCAGAAGCTTACATGCTGGCAAAGCAAAAGCAGCCCATTCCACCAATACTCAATGATGTGCTGTTTGTATTGATCAGCGGTGCAGAAAGTGACGCTGAAGTACATGCGCCCGTGAAAGATGTGAAAGCGGCAGGGGCGAAAATTGTGGTCATAGGGGTTGGCAAGGACGCGAAAATTGGAAAGGTGGCATCGCAGGCAGACCTAATGTTTATGGTCCCCCCCGGAGCCGGAAATGCAATAGTTAATGCCATTGTGGTAGCAGTATGCAAAGCTTGTAAGTTGCAGCCATGTTCAGGGGGGAGGTTACTGAAAACATTCCCTAATGAAAACATTCACTTGTTAGCTATCTCGCCAGAAAACTATTAAATGATTATTTTATTTAGTTCTCATGGGTAAACCAGGACCAAATACCAAGCCTTGCCCATGTATGTTACAACCAGTTAAGAAAACCTCGCCAGAGGAAAATCCCGGTAAGTTTTTACGGCGAGTAGTAGTAAGCAACCTTAAAGAAAAATTTCCATTTTGCGAAATTTCAACACGTGGAATGTTATACTGCCGGATGAGCAGAAAAAGCTATACGAAATTTGCGATATACTTTGGACAATGAATTATCTTCCACATTTTACACCCTTTTGCAACCAAAGTTTGCAGTTTCACTTATTTTCAAGATGCTCTTTGCTAGCAGTGGCGATGAATTTTTGCCTTCTCAATAAAAATGAGGCCTAGAAATCATCGATTCGATTGATACAACATTTGATGAGGCTGTTAGTTGGCTCCCAGGGAGAAACATTTTGCATTCTATCAAACATGCACGCTCTATCTTACCCTTTTCATTTCATGCAGGTAAGATCAATACAGAAATGTCGAAAGAAGAATACAAGGCGGGCATGTTTCATGCGAGCGGTTTACCCAAGGGGGATACTTCATCTACTACACCACAACAACCTTTGTCCCAGGCCACATCTGATATAATTTCAGATAAAAAACCTCCAGCAGCACCAAGTACCTTGATCGTAAGTGCTAAGAAACCACTGACCGCTGTGTCCAACACCAAAGCACCAGAGGGAAATTTGCCGGTATCGAAAACGGCGCCCGAAGCCTTCGGCGTAACCCAGCCCGTATCTTCACCGGCGACCGATAAATCACCATCCGCTAGTCAGCAGACAAGTTCGGTGAAAAATTCCCCCAAACCTGCAGAGCGGTCCAAGCCCGACAACCTGCCTGGTAATGGTGCCACCACTCAGGCAATGCCTGTTAAAACCGCCAACGACAAAGTTATTCATATAAAACAAGACAGGTTCAAACCTCTATCAAAAACTTTATCTACCCTTGGGGAAAGTCTCAACAAAGCTCATTCGACGGGCGAATTGCATGAAGGCTCTTATGCGTTAGATGGTGACATACAAAATTTACTGAAAACAATCGGAAAGTTAAAATCACAAGTTGATAATCTAAAAAGCGATGAGTTAGCATCAGGAAATAACGATATTGAAATAACCAGCGATAATAACAAACCCGGGATTGTCTCCAAGCCTTCCAGCCAATCACAAGAAGGCTCTGAGTCAAGCAGCCAATCATCGTCGAGTATCGCATCTTCAACAAATAAATCGCCCTCAGCTTCTACAAGTCAAAAAATAACAGCCCCAGCTTCGACAGGCGAATCAACAACGGTCTCGGCTACGACAAGCCAATCAATGACGGACACAGCTTCCACAAGCCAATCGCTGCCCAGCTCTGAATACGCTGGCCAATCGCCTGCGAGTTCGAATGCCGTTGAAGAATCGAATTCTAAAACAGGAGGTACCAACGATATGCTGTCAAAATCAAACACGACTACCCATGTGCCGTTGAAATTAAAAATTATCGACACTCCTGGTAACGATCCGCAAAGAAATGCCACCGTACTACATTTGAAAGTAAGCGATAAATTCAAGTCTGCAAGGAAGGAATCGGCGGGAAAGCCGTTGTCTCAGAACCCAACTGCAGGTAACATTAACAAGCCGAAAACGGACAGCATACAAGAGAATCCTTCCGTTCCACAACCAGCCAACGATTTGTTAACTGGGCAGAATACTTTAACAAAAAAGCCGAACAATGTAGGCAAAGGGGACAAAGATCTAAGTTCTGATGGGACCGAATCGTTGGTCCAAACAAAGAACCCACAAAATGCAGGACCAAGTTCAAGTTCCACACTCAAGGCACCGGCGAATGCTGCGTCGGGACAGATTGTGAAACCAGAGCAGCCGCGCGGTAATCAAGCACAAAACGCTTTGGCAAATGTTCAAGATGGAACCAAGCCGGGTACTGCGAGTACTCAAAATGTTCTACCATCAGCTCCTACCAATGACGCTTCTGGTAAACCTGAACCATTACCTCAAATTACCAAAACTCAGAATCCACCGCAGCAAAGTGCAACTGGCACCTCCCAGAATGCAAAACCTTTACAAGCTGATCAGACTTCACCAGAAGCTCAGATTGGTGCCACACTAGGTAACGCGAAAGTACCAGAAGCTGACGCCACCAAAACACAACCCTTGACACTGAGTGATCAGAAATTACCACAACCTAATACCATAAAACCGCCAAGTACCACCTACCAAGATACGGTTTTAGAAAACACGCCAGAAAGCACTGTCATACTGCCTGCGCCTTTAAGTCACGAGATACAGCGACCTGCTCGAAACGATGGCAAAGATTTTACCGCGATTGAGAGTAGATTATCCAGACAAAAAGAAACAAGAAAGCCAACTCTAAAATCATCGATACCAAGTAAGTGAAGTTTATGCCATGTTGTTAACTTGCTGCATACCGAACCACCATTTTAGTGGCAAGTGCAAGGATTAACCAAAATCAATTAAGCTATATTTGTCTCGAAGCCTTAATAGTTTCTACCTCTCCAGTAACAGCTATCGATGTTAATAATGAAGTAATCTACCCAGAATATTCACGTGCAAAATATTTTGTTTACGGACTCAAGATTAAGTTCTTAGCAATGGTCAACGATACATTTTTTGCATCAATGTGATAATGAAGGGTTGAAGACTATACGATCTAAAATCGTCCCGAGATCGGCACCCCACACAATGATCATGTATTGTCGTAGAGAATTATTGATTAATTGATTGATTGATCGATTGACTGATTGATCGACTGATTTAATTGTCAATCCTCACACACTGTGTCGGCGCGCATTTCCAGAAATATCTTCTAGTCTAATTGTATACCACACTGCGTTTCAACAGATTGCAATATAAATCTTGGTTTTGTGTTGGACGGCTCAGCAAGTGTGGAAGGAACGAAACGAGGGAATTTCCTGAAAATGATCAACTTCGCCAAGGATGTTATACACGATTTCGTAAAGCAATCTCAACAGGTCCATGTTGGTACTCTCGTGTATAGCACCAATACGTCTGTGATACTGTCGTTTGGCACCAAAGGAACGGAGAAGATCATTGATCAGATCTTGGACAGCGTACACTATCCAGGTTGGAAGTCCTAAATAACTTCTATGGTGTATTTGACGAAGATTTTTGAGATATTATCATAAGTAAATCACCATGATCAGCTATCCAGACCGCAGTTTTGATTGCAGGTCAATTGGAATCAAACTCAGTAATTCCTTTGAATATTACCTTCATGGGCCTCTAGACTGTTTAGACCCCGGGGACTGCCCAATGCTATATAATTCAAACAAGACACAGATTGAGACTGTAAATTTTCGACTTTATTACAAAGTCATCTTCAGACAGAATGAAATACAATACTTTACAACGCATATATATACAACAGTCAACACAGAGAGAGAGAGCACACGTGTCAATCTAGCATGTAGGCGGAAGGCCGGAAACCAAGCCAAGCTGTGAATAAAACTAAATATGTATGCTAGGGATTAACCTTCACGATAAATAGCAGAGCCTAAATCTTTCAACATTGCAGGACAAGGCTCGCTGACCGGGAATGCAATGAAAGATGCCTGGAACCTAATGTTCAGCTCGGTCCCAAGAGGAAGAAAAAGTAAACTTTTGCTTCTGACCGACGGCCCTTCGAACGACGATGTCAAAATGCCTTCGAAATGGGTGCGCGATAATGGAGTGGAGATATTTGTGATTGCTTTGGGTAACGGTTACGACGAAGGTCAACTCAATGACATTGCCAGCGTACCAAGTGTTAAACATATCATGTTGAAGGATTATGATGATCTCCGAACTTCTGTTCAAGAAGTTAGGAACAGAGTTTGTGGATTCACTGATCAGCAAAGTTAGTTTGTGCATATTTACCACAAGCCGTGCGTTAGCCAATCAAATTGCCTGTTATATCAGATTTATATTATAATAGGATTTCCAATATAACTAAGGGGCAGCGTGGTAGAGTCTTCAAACAACTTCGAATTAAATCTACACTTCTCAACGTTTTGAACTAAGGCTATCGTCAAAAGATCTAGAATGAAAAACAAGTTATCTTCTAACTCTCCCGACGAAAGTCGAAACGTCAAGAAGTGTAATAATAGAATCTATTACATAGTTCTTTCAAATCATTATTGTGGTAATTCAGAACGATTCTCATCATTCATTAATGTGTTTTATTATTGTGCAGTCCTTCAGATAATGACAAACACAAGACTAATGGACAGTCCCGATGAAATGAACTCATTTCAGAGAAGTTTTGCGCCCAATCAATGCATACTGGACGTTGTATTTCTACTGGATGGTTCGCGACAAGTTGAGACAAACGGCGTTGGCAATTTTCAACGTGAAATTAACTTCGTGAAAAAGGCGGCAAGATATCTTCCACTATCAAGGAACGATGTTCACATTGGGGTGGGCCTCTTAGGTAAGACCTGATGGAAATATTTTGATGCATTTAAGTGCAAAAAACCTGACACATTTAAATGCAAAAACCTTGACACATTTAAGTGCAAAAATATCCATCAAATATCCACCTCTTTTTGTAAATGGCATATGTTTAAAACAAGCGAGCTTATAAACATTTAAGTTTACCCCTAGATCTCAAAACTTAAGATATTTTACGTACTTTTTTGACCGTAATGGGTTAAAAATTTTTAACGGTAAATTTTCCTGAAGCGGGTTTCCACTATAGGGAATTTTTCGACTAGATTCAAAATCATACATTTAGTGCTTTATTCCAGTGGAAATTTATAAGATTTACTTTTACGTTAAGTTAAAATAATCAGTTTTTAACCATGGAAGATTTTTCTGACTAACTTTTTGAAACCCCACATATATTTATATACATCATGTGAAATGTATACTTTAATGTCAGTCAAAATCCGTATATTATAGGTGACGTCAATGTAATGGTCTTCCCTTTGAACGAACATTACATCGCGAAATCCATAGACTACGAACTTGATCATATACGATATCCTGCCTCATCCGATATTCAGCCCCGGGAGGTATTGTACGCCCGACAGGTTATGCTTTTGAAAGGTAAGAATCAATTACACATGTAGGTTGATATTTCGTACGTAATGACAAAAATAAACGCAGTATATATGAAAAACTATTAAACAACACTCCTATAACCACTGGCTATAACTATTTAGCACTGAAAAGAGGTTGCGAAGATCATGGTACAAAATTTTGTTCACATTTATTACAAACTTCCCTTTTCTTTCGAGATTAACCACGGTTTAACTACATGATATTCGCAGGCTTGTTTGTATTAATAAAAAAATGGAAGGTTATATGATATAGCGAGATCAACAGTCCTCTGAATGGCCCCTAAGCGGACTAAATTATGCAGGTGGAGCGTGGAATTTTGTGAGCTCTCGTAGACTATTGTAAAAATACAAAGATAACGTGAAGCTAAAGGTTTCTAATGAGTGTTCACACGCCGGATTATGACTTCGTATTTTTAGGTAGACGAGAAGTGGCCCCTCGGGTATTTGTCCTAGTCACGGATGTCAGTTCGTTCGATTCGTATCGCCATGCGATTAGCGAGCTTCGCACAGACGGTTCAGACATCGCCATGTTTGGCGTAGGACCAGAATCATACGAACAAGAAGTGAAGATAAGATCAAACGTCCAGGGATTGGACGACCAAGTTGTGCAGTTAAACAGCGCCGATGAAGACGAGGCTGCCAAAAATTTTGCCATCAATATGTGCAAGCTATCGAGCTCAAAACGAACAGAGATACCGAGAAGACATTGGAAAGCTTCTAACAAAGTTTTAAATGAAGACTAAAGGTTTCAAAGTTGATTTCACAGTCCCTCGTGAATTGGCCATTCCAAAATTGCAGCTGGTATAATAGACAAATGAAGTGCATTATCGAGCAGTTTCAAATAGGATAAACACTTTATATGCACCCAAAATAGTCCCATGACGCATTTTCTATTGCAATTTTCGATTGGCCAATGCTCTACGAAGTAGTGAAGTTGAAAAGTTTGTGTGTATGGAATTGATACAAGTAGAACTTACCATCGACATTCCCCTGTAAAATTGTTAGATGGTACACAGGCCGACGGAGAACAGGATAGCTCTGACTAGAACATTTGTTTCATCTCAAAAGCATGTCGGTGGTTTTAGGTGAATTTAAAAAATATATATGCCTATATGCCTATGGTATTTCATATTTGTGTTCCAAATTAATGTCAATGATCAGATTAATGATCAGAGATTAATCGCAAGTGTTATACTTAATAAATGTTGCCGACAAGAGGAAAGACTAAATTTAACGTATAGTGTTTATGATAAAATTTTGAATGATTCTAGATTCAATGATAAGTACTATTGTCTACAGTCCAACTAGCAAAACTGAAAATAGTGTTAAAAAACTAAAGGGTGAAATATACAAATCGGTAAAATTTTTTTTCAAAATCGATTTTAAAATCTGTAACATTACACGTGTACACGTCTACAGGCGTTTACTGACATTGCATCATAAAGGAAAAAACTTTAATTTTAACATTGGGTGGAATTTTAATGCATGTAAATGATTCAAATTTTCAGCAAGCAGTTACAAATGAATAAATACGTACATGTATAAGTTAGTTTAATATTACACAGCCTTCGGCTCTTCTAATTTTGTTTTTTGGACATGCTAAGATGTTCAGTTCGTCTGGTGCACTTCAATGTAAGTTAACAATTCGTGAAATCTATTTGCAAAAACTCCTGGTCTAAAATAAACATTCAGTTATTTCGGGGTAAAATGTCAGCAAAAACAACATATTTCAACACAATCTAAAATCACCTGAGTTTAAAAATCTTTCTCTACTCAAATTAAATTCTACGTCTATTTTGCAAATAGAACTATTAAATACTAAATTATTGAAACGCAACAATGTTTCAATATCAATTATTTTTAAATAATAATGAATGTTAGAAAATTAGTATTTAGTATGTAAGTGGGATTATATTCCCGTCAGTTCGATTCTCGTGGGTTCGTTCCCCGTAGGTTCGTTTTTCGTATTCCCTCTAACTGTAAGTGGTAACTCCGAATGTTCTGTTTCAATAAGTACTATTCCCGTAGAATCTTTCACCGTAGGGGTAATTTCCGCAGGTACATTTGGCGATGGTATCATCTCCGTGTGTCCATTACCGGGATGAACAATTTCCGTGGACGCAAACGCTGTAGGTTCATTTTCCGTGGGTATCATTCTCGTAGGTTCTTTCGTCGACGGATTATATCCCGATTTATATGTTGGTAATGGATAGTCACCATTACAAACCTTTTTAGTTTCATAATTCTGACCATTAACGTACACATCCGTACCTTCGACACATGTGATGCTCCCATTTATCCCCTGTGTCTCAGGACAGTGAGAAGAGGAATATACACTGGTTTGCATTTCCACAGTATTCAGTCCAGTTTTTATTTTCAACTCACTGTTACCAACACACGCTTCATTATTTGGGTTTAAAGCGCAGTTTACCACAGGTTCGCTTGCATCATGATTTTGCTGTAGTTCATTATGACCTTTCGGCATTTCATTTGTATCTGAAAGACTGCCATTTGTCATTTTATCCAGAAGGGTACCATCACTTCGACTGTCTTTTATATCCATCACCTCACCCTTATGTCCTTTAGTATCGCCGTACTTATCATTACTTGTTATCAACTGTTGTCCTTTACTATCCCCAGAAACTTCTGGATTACCTAGGGTGTTCTCAACATCCACCCCATTAGAAGTGATTTCTATTACATCATTTTGAGTCACACTTGTACCGTTATATCCATCATTATCTACACCATTAATCACAACTTCAGCATTTCCCGACACTTTTGAGATGAGGTCGTTAACAATGTCATACACAATACCGTCACGAATTTCTTCACTTTCAACAGCAGAGTCGTGTATTGCGTGATCATCCAAGTACGGACGTTTCTCGGACTTGACCTCATACAGCGAGTCTGGATTCTCATCACAAACCTCACCTTCGAGATTCTTAGAAACCTCAGAGAGAGGTGAAGAGCTTGCAGAGACCATATCATCATAATCTAGGAATTTCCTTTTTCTACTTCGAGTGACCATCGACAGCAGAGGCGCACCCTCCTCCCCCTGAATTTCATCCAAATTAATGCTGTCGGGAATACTAGTCATCTCAACGTCGCGGGGGGTTTCGATATCTCCGCTAACAACGTCTTCAGTTCCACCTTGGTTCTCTAATTCATTGCCTGCAAAAACAATCACTAGAACGTTAGATCAAATTACAAAAAGGTTGTTAGTCACACAACAACTTAACAACACGTTGGCGTTGTATATTTGCCGGACAATAACGTCCGTCGATCATGAGTCTAACGATAATGTAGAAGTGTCAGGAAGCCAGTGAAAACTTGCCAAGCCATTTCAATACGCAATTCCAGCTATAAGCTATCATGATGGCATCACGTGTCATTCCAATATGGGGATACAAACTTACACTCTTATTTAGCCTGAAATAATTCACGTTTGCGAAAAGATAACGGATGCAGATTTTGCAAGAATGTATCGCGGTGGAAAATCATTCAAAAAAAAATAATTTGACCTTCTTGGAAGGCCAAAAGAAGGTTTTTTACGGTGTTAAAATCTGTATTCACATGTATTTCCTGGTATTTTTTTTAGCCTCGATTTCCTCTAAATGTACACCTCATAAACTGGAAATTGTCTGCTTAGCGCAGTCAAGAAACTATCTTATAATACTAAAACATAATAAGTGAGAATGACGCAAGACTAATCAAGAGATTGGTTGTGAATTGTATCCGCTGATTATAGGAACAAGCACACGACGACGAGCCACACGCACACAAGTTCGACTACTGATAAGTAAAAAAAAGCAATACATATATGCATTGAAGAATCATCACTCAAATAAGGCATTTTTTATATGTACACACACATTTATACACTGTGAATCTATTCGTGATTAAATCAATCAATCAATAATTTGTAAAAGAACTTCAAAACTTCAATACCTGAATCAGAGGCATCTTCAACTGATTTCCAGTCTTTCATGAGATTCATCATCCCCCTCACTCTTGACCTCGAATATTTGGCGTCGGATTTTCCCAACTCTTCAAGAAGCTCACTCAAAACTTTGTGAAGTTCTTTTTCACATCGTTTGCGCGTCGGCCGACTGACAGATTTTTTCCGAGAAGGCGGTGGCGGGGGTTTCTCGGAAAATTTCTCGCATAATTCGCGCAACGACTCCACGTCACCGCAGGCGAGCCCAAAACCTGGTTCGATAGTGCTGTACGTCTCTTTGCTTTTTTTGGACGACTTCGAAGAGGAACGTTTTCTCGACTTCGATTGGTGATTTCCCTTGGTCGTTTGGGAACGGTTGAAAGCTTTTGACTATGGTGAACAAAAATCTTTCGAAATTTAACACAAAAATTCCAGGTCCGCGAATTCTTATTTTTCACCGCAACCCGTTGTTCACAAATATTTAAAAAGCTGTGCAAATGTTTTTCTTCTGAAATACATTGTTCTAGTTTATTTTGCTTGGCCAACGCAAAAAACCCTTTAATTTTGTTGCAAATCCCACTTTTTAAAGGCCGAGGCTCACGCGCAAAAACTCAGGAGAAAAAACCCTATTCATCATCGCGGGAATTCGCTGACCATTCAAAAATAATGGCTTTAAAAAGCAACTTTCAAGCCCTAAATTTTGCATATTTTGTATCCTCGAATAAAAAGAAAAAATAACTTTATAAACATCGTAGATTTTGTTTACATCTAAAGTCACCATGGAAATTATAATCATGAATGCAGTCCTTTTCCGAAATTTCTCCTAGATTTAGTCCAATGCACACAAAAGGTTTTAGAAATGAGTAATTTAGGTGTATGCATGTACTTACGTTTGAGACCCATTTTCTATACCATTCGTTGAGAGCAGGCAGTTCATCCTGTTTGTAAATTCTGATGTCGGTGGCGTCAAAAATAGGGAAGTAGAGATACGAGGAGTTCTTAGCGTCGTAACCAAGATATGTTTCATTGTACGGTGTGGTGTCCGTATTACCAAGCAAGTCACGCAATTGAGGATGATAGTCCTTTGAATGTAGCATAGATCAAGTTATTTTAACGTAGGTTTCTACCTATGGTTCATTTTCAGTTGATCTATTTTCATGACTGACTTTAGAGGATGACGTATCTCTATATATTTCAGTCTCTTAGGGGGTACAGCGCCCTATCAAGTGAAAAAACGTGATTTTATACTTTCTTTTTAAATTATCAAGTCACTTACCAAGCACTCGTCGCACAAAACCTTCAGAATGAGGACACGCTGATGCAAAGTTAAATCAATGTATGACTTTGTCTCTAACGGATTAATATCACCTACAAAAAGGAGTAAAATATGCATTTTCTATATATTCATGTATCAGTGCCTGTCATTTGGTTCATAATTTCTTGTTTCACTTAATTCTCAAGATTAGCTTAGGATTAGGCCTTAAATTAGGTTTATGGTTGATTCTAAGCAAAAATCTATATAAGCTTAATCGTAGGCTAACTTCGAGGATTAAATCCATTTTAATCAGGAAAATAGGATTGTATATCATTGTAGTGCTGTGGCTGATGGTTTTGTGAGCCCTAAACCTTGTAGGAATCCGTTCGATAACAAACCATTGCAATGCAGCAAAGATGACGGACATTGGTGATACAACATGCATGTATTTTACGAGCTAGAGCCTAACATGCATACTGTTCGTACCTAATACATCAAAGAATGCTGGGTTTAATCCAATCTGACGAGCAACCTGTAATAAAGAATGAATCAATCTTCGTGCCGAAGTACTTTGCTAAAACTTGCAAATAATTGTTTTCGAAAAATTCTATCCATGGTATTACAAGTGCCTTATAAGGTAAGCGATATACAATTCTAACCGTTTGTAGTTCCTCCTCTTGTTTGGCCAAATACCAAATATCCAACCGTTCTTTTAACTTCCTTTCCCAAACTTTAAACTTCATCGGCGCCTTCTTGTGGATGCTAAATGCAACGACGGCAATATTATCGAGTGATCCTATACAGATATATGCTATCGCAAGAAGAGTTACCCTTGTCAAAAAGAGGAGTTATTTGCTAATAAACGCATGCAAATATACATAGACTACGTGAAAATGAACCACTAGTATACATTTTTGCTTTCAAATTAAACCATTTTAATGAGACAGGTAGCTATATGTGGCTATTTAGGCCTATGGTACACATGCAGCTTAACTGATCTCTGAGCTAACTCTGATGGCATGTCACTACTCACTATAATCTCAGGTCCTTAATGCCAGGTTAGTAAAATGATCTCTGACTCTATATGTAATGATGCAAAGAATGTGTGTTTTGTACCTTTTGCGCTGACTTGGGGTGACAAGAAGAGATGTTAATATCCAGGCCATTTGCTGCGACTTGTTGGGAATAATTAATCCGTATTCAAATTCGGTGAAGTTTAGTTCAGGGAGATTTAGCGCTGGTTGAAAGAGCCAGAGAAAGCTGCCAATGGCTGGAATCTGAAATGTGATAAATAGATTTAGTAAATT